GAAGATTAACACTCAGAGCCCAGAGTTTGGAGACAGTGCTATGCATATGAACATGGATACACATAAACTCAGTTCTTTCTATCTCTTGTCAATTTGGCTGTAGTCCTTAGTGTAAACCCCAGATGGAAAGCACTCTTCTAGCTTTTGTGTCTCATCTCTTCTCCACCCTGCACATTGTCCCCTCAAGGATCTTCTCTCTCTTTAACCTTCAGGACCCTTCCCCTCTCCCCATTCTTATTCCATCAGGGCTGCATAGCAGAAAGTTTGTTCTATCTCTTCATCTCCCAGAAGGAGATAAAGTCTGTCTTAGGGATCCACATTAGTTTTGCAGAGCCACCCATTCACAAGACACACAAACCTGACCCTTGATAATGGTGATGGTCTCTCAAAGCAACAGTTGTCAAGCTAAGGAAGTTTCTGTCTTTTTATGATCCTCCCTCTAAAATCCTCTACCACATTGCAAGTGAAACAAAGAAGGAAAAGAGGGAGGGAGGAAGGGAAGAAAAGAGGAGCACCCATCCACCCACCTGTGTCTAGTGGACTTGTACTTAAATCTTGGTGAGACACTCAGGAGAAACAAAGCAGCTCAGCTACTAAAGCTCCATGATGCTCTTCCGGATAAAGAAGACTGACCCACTTGACAGTCAACAACTTCCCAGGCAGCCAAGATTTGTTCTTCCTGTTGTTGCAGAGCTAATTAGAATAGACACAGGGAATTTAGAATCTTAATGCCATTGCTACTCTAGTTGATTTGAATTTTCCTCTCTAGTTCTCACTTTTTTCAGTAGTATAGTAGCTGTAATAGTGGAGAGAAGAAGAAGACACTTTGATCCTTATGGAGAGCTCAAGGTGGATGTTTTATGTGTGTTCTTTCAGCTAATGTAGACAAAATCAGGTGAGGCAAATACAGTTATTTTCAACTTCTTACCATATCCAGCTGACACATTTGCCTACCATTGATTGCTGGAATTTGTCAAACTTTTCCTCCAACTTTTCCTTTCACCCAGAGCACTTCCTCACCCAGAACCCTTGTTTTGTGCGACTTCCTCTCCTTCATCTTTAAGATCTTAGCTTAAAGGTGCCAACCTCAGATACAACTCCTGTACTTACAAATTGTTTTATGTGATTTGAGGTAAAGCTAGTCTATTTTATTTGTGTGTGATTTTTTTGTTTCTATCTCCACCATGTAGCATTAAGTTCCATGATGGGTAGGGACCTTCTTCATTTTGAATTTTATCTGCATTTTTAACTTCTTGTTCTCCACCAGCTAGCACATAGCAAGGACATCATTATACATCCACTAGATGAAGCAATAAATTATCCCTGATTTATTAGATGTGGGAATGAGGTTTGGAGAAATTAAATATGTCTGTTAGTGTCTGACCCCTAGGAAATGCACTCAAACACAGGTCTACCTGACTCCCCTCTGCCACCTGCATGCAGTGGACTTCTGGAAATGGAATCTGTGGGAAGACTGCTGACATTCCCTCCTATTCCATTCTTCTCTGCAACCCCAAAATAATTTGACCCCTCTCCACCCTATCAAGATCCTCCAATCCCTTCTCTTCACTGTCGTGATGTATTCTAATTACAGGACCTGGCCACTGCCTGATATATTCTGAATGAGTTGATTTCACTCCCCCAAATACTGAACCAACCATCCCTGTAATAAGTTATTCACTCAGCAGGATCCAATTCTTTCAGTGTTATACAGACATTATCTGTTTAATCCTCACGAAACCCATGTGAATTTTATATCGGTTGCACAGTATGTTTTCCCTTTAATCAGTGAGGACTGTGGGGAAGGGAGACTTAACCAGAGCCCATAGGAGTCATATTTAACTCAAGAACAATGTCTTATATTTTCAGAGCTCAATAGAAGTTAAAATAAGAAATACCAGGCTATGTGGTTTCAATAGTCTGACACTTTCTTTCCTTGCAGCTAACAATTTGAACTAGTTAAATTCATAATTATCATTCCATCTTAAGTTCATTATAAGGTGTTATTAATAATACCTTACTGTATATAAAGCACTTAGTATAAAATGAAAAACCAAGGGTAGTTTCTTTATAGTCGTCAGGCTTTGAAATTAACAGGGTTTGTCTTCATACACTTCAAATCTAACTCAGTACAGGAACTTTCAAGGAACTTTTTAAAATGGAGCCATTATGCTATTTTGTCACATCTTTAATGTGGGAATGTTAAGCTTCACACACACACACACACACACACACACACACCATTGCTGTTAAGAGAAACTATGAAACTATGACTGCTTATGTTAGGTGCTGGGCATGACACCTGGCCCCAGTAGGTACTCAGTAGTGGCCAAAATGGATCATTCCATTGCTGATTCCACGTTTCAGAATATTGCCCCAGACTTTAAACACCACACATATTTCTACCAGAAATACACTCACCATCTTATTTAATTCTTTGACAACTAAGGAATTACATACAAGATATCTCTTTCACAGGCAAGACAACTTGGCTAGGGAAAACCCTAGCACAGGTCTGTCATGTTGTTCATCTGGAAGATGTCTTTACTAAAAGCATTGTGGCTGAAGGGACTGGATGTCCAGTATTATGCGGCTAGATAGAAGCATTTAACCATTAAAAGTACTCCTTCCTGGCCCTCCCTGGTGGCACAGCGGGTTAAAGCACTGCACTGAGAAGCTAAAGCCACTTCAGCATGAGTTCGATTCCCGCCTGCCCCAGAGGTGTCCACATGGTATGGCAGACCTCGCTTGACCTGCCTGACCTCTCTTGACCTGCCTGCTGCTCCCCTCAGCAGTGTACTTCATCGATCTGCCTGTTCTGTCTCCCACTCTGTCTCTGGTGAAGCCTCTTACCGCCCCTGAGCCTCTGGCCTGTACACCCCAGTTCTGTATGAATAAATAAATAAATCTTTAAAAAAAAAAAAAGTACTCCTTCCTTGTTCCTAGCAGTGCTATGAGCTGGCACAAAGGGTGTATTCCAGCATGAGAAATAAATCTGTGCTACAGGGGTAAAGGTCAGATTCCCTTGAGACTTGGCAGTGTGTGTGCAATCCTTAGATTGTTCAGGGGCTTGAATTACTTCTGAATGCCTCCTTAAATCCCATCAGTTAGGCAAAGTAGGAAGAAAACCAAACAAAGCAAAAAAGATACCAGATTTCCTGCACTGTCTGATGTTGGTTCTATGGGGCTGATGGTAAAATAGATTTAGCTGGGGATTAAGTCTGAATTTCCTATTTTATGACATGGAACATTTTACCAAGGAGCTTGCCCACGCTTATTTATAGTAATAACATTTGTTAACATTTATTGAGTACTTTTTCTGTGCCAGAATGCTTTAAACACATTAACACATACACACACATTCTGTGCTTACTACATCTACTGTAACTTTTGGTCAAGTTGTTTCCATTTTAAAAATACTGAATTTAAAAACTAATAACTTGAAACCACTGCACACAAAATCACCCACCAAATATTGCTTTTCCTGTGAAGGTTCCCTCATTAGCCAATCTTTTCTTATTAAAGTTAAATGGCCAGTAGAGACAAGCAGTTCTGTGACTTCTTCCACCACTGATTAGGCAGAGACAGCAGGTGTTCTGGATAATGTTCATTTCACCTTCTGAACTTTCCGAATACACTTGCAGCATTGCCACCCTCAGCAGCCCTCTGTTACATGACCTGTCTGCCTCCTACCTCCTATCACAATAATAAAATGACCCAGAGGAGTTATTGTCAGTGGTATTCTCCTGACAAAGAAACCAAAGCAGAGGGAAATTAAGCAATCTTCCTGAGGTCTTTACCAGTCCCTATGCCCTTAATCCTTACATGATAACTCCTCTAGTGCAAAAAGAACTTGTGTTCCTATAGGGTCCCACACTGCAGAAAGAAGTTGAACTTCAGAATTAAAAGAAATTAGAGCATATCTGCAGGGATGAGGGTTAATAAGTTCAACTGATTGACTTGTCTCAGGAATGAGCAAGAAAGCCCATTAAGTTAGCCAGACTAAGGGGACAAAGTTTGACCTTCATTTTGGCCACTTTAGTCCTCCCTCCCCCCCTGGGGGGGTGTCTCTGAGTTCTTGCTTCTAATTTTCAGTACCTGGCACCTACAGGTCCATAATCTATACAAGGGTAGGTTATGACATTCACTGGTAGTCAGTTAAATAATTTAATAGTTCATTTAGAAAGAACTAACACACCAATGTAAACTCCAAGGAATGTTTGAGGCTGACGCATATTGAGATCTTGTGCCCCAGCATAGTGCTTAGATATTCAGCTGTTCTTCCTCTAGCCTGTAGCACTAGAATTCTCTATGTCTTTAAAAATTAACTATATTGGGCCCTCTCTAGTGGCACAACAGGTTAAAGTGCAGCACTATGAAGCTAGCCACAGCCACTTCAGCATCCCCGGTCAGAGAGGTGACCCACATGGTGCAGAAGACTTCTCCTGTCTCACCTGTTGCTCCCCTCAGCAGTGTACTTTGTCAGTCTGCCTGTTCTGCTCCCCCACTTTGTCTCTGGTGTAAATTCTCAGCACCCCTGCACCTCTGGCCTATACCCCAGTTCTTTTTGCATAGATAAGTACATCTTTTTTTTAAAAAAGAAATGAACTGTATTATTTGAAAATAGAATACATGCTTTTTTCCCCAGACACTACAGATAAACAAAAAAAAAGGAAGGAGGAGGTACCCAAGATTCTTCCCATCTGAGACATCCATGTTAATATCTGGATACATTACTTTCTATCTTCAGTGTGAGATTATGTCTGTAAACTCTAAAATCTGAGAACTCTATACCAACAAACAGTTATTTTATTTCCTCATCTCCCTGTCATCATCCTGACCTCATCTTTCAACCCAAACCAAAGATGATGCCATACTTCAAAAGAGCCATAACTTCTCTCAGTCTAAACACTAAGCTCTTATTGATACATCTCAATTGCTTAACATCATCCTAATAACTGCCCCTTTTGCTAACTAACCCATTTGCTTGTTCTCCACAGCTTTTTGCAATCTTTGCATTTGCAACATGCGGTGGCTATTCAGGAGGCCTTCGGCTGAGTGTGGACTGTGTCAACAAGACGGAAAGTAACCTCAGCATTGACATAGCATTCGCCTACCCTTTCAGGTAGGAAATGATGGTTTATGCTCACTAGACTCATAGTAAGGACACTTTCTACCTTCTGTAGTTTCTTAAAAGAATGATGCAGCTTCCTATTGCCATTTGGCCTGAAGAATTCTGCCTGAGCACACAAAATAAATAAAATACTAACCCAATAACTTCTCCCCACCCCCACAAAAGGATGTATATCCTGGGAGTTGTGACCCAAATTGGAATTCCTCTAAAAAAGTTGCTAGAAGTGGCCCATATTGGGAATTATAATATTGAGACCTCAGTTTTAAATTCCTTCCCTCATACCTAAATTTAAAATTTTAAGGCTGTCCTAATTCTGTCCAGACTTACAATGTTTGCAGTGTTTGGAAGGCAATGTCCTTCCAACTTTGTCATCAAAAGTTGTGATAGGAACAGATAACTTGAAGATAAACTTTTCAAGATTTTAAAGGAGTAGGTCACCAAATACTGAGCACACGTTGGTCTCTCAAAACTGGAAGCTGGTAAATAAGAAGCCTGTCTTAATGGGAGGTCAATTGCTGGGATGGGGCAGGGGTGGGAGAACAGAGTGATATTTAATTCCATGTAATCGTTGGTTAAATATATGATTTGACCTTCAAGCCAACAGTTTCCAGCATTTGGCTTCTCCATTTTATTCCCAAGACATATTACTGACCCAACTAAAGACAACAAGAGAAATAGGATTAAATGTGTATTACCACTTATAAATACAGTGGCTCTCATGAGAGATCTCATTCATTTGAGAGTTTTTTACTTGGGTTCTGAGGTAAAGATGACTATTGCTTTTTCAGCAGTAGACTTTTGTCTTCCAAATATTACCTCACTCATAGTGTGAAAGAGTTATTCTTGACAAGGGTGAGACACCAACTGCTCTTTTTCAACCTTTTCTCTGCCTCATACGTTGCCTTCCCCAGCTGTATGGTCCTGTTATATTTCTTCAAAACTTTGGTCTATCACCAGCTATTAAAAAAGCACTGTCTAGAAGAAAGCCAGACAAGTTTTGTCATTTTTATTTACCACATCTGTGCAACATTTATTGTCTGCTATTGAGGAACTAAGATTAACCTCTCTCCTCATACTCTTGTGGATCTGGAAGACAGTCATACTATCCCAAATAGACTCACTTTTACTAGAAACACAATTTCAATGATATAGTTGGGTAATTTGAAATGTTGCACCATTGTCTTCTTGGGAAATATTTCAATAATAAGCAACCACAACAGATTATGTTGCAGTCATTTGTTTCTGAAGAAGTTGGGTTAGCAAGATGTTGATGAAATAAATCATTAAAAAGTTTATTTTCTCTTTGTATTTCACAATCCGATGCCAAATAAAATGAGAGCATTCAGCTCTAACTATTCCATTTATTGCAAACACAAGGAAGAAAATAAACCCTAATGCCAAGTGATTTGAACAAAAACAATTAGTCTGTAAATGACAGACCGAAGGAAGCTACTTATCTTCCTTAGCAGATTATTGACTGTGAGATAATGTGAATTTAGAAAATGCTAGTTTCCTAAATATTCATGGCTACTTTTCATAAATATATGAAAGTATGTGACTCCATTATATAACCTCATGAACAAAGGTATTTATTGTTGAGTCCTTTTAAATCCTGCAACATTAACAACAACTTATGTGTCTGTAAATAAGGAAGTAGAGAAATAAATGTTGGTACATCCACAAAATGAATGCTAGGTGTTCATTAAAAAATCAGTATCTCGAATAAAACTTAAAGCTGTGAAATGCTGCCAGCATGGTAATAGGTGACAAAGCAGAATATATGGCTACATGTATTAATGATTCTGATTTTGTTTTAGTTTATACTAACTGACTATATTGACACTGCCATCCCATCTGTCTCCTTGTCCCTCACTATCTATGCCTACACTTTGTACAGTAAGCCCTTAGGACTGTTTTCTGTAGCCAAGGAGCTCACGTGGTCATCATGCAGAACAGGTCAGAGCTGTTGGTGAGTTAATGAGTTAATGTCTCTTGGGAGCTAATGTCTCTTGGAACAGAGACATTGATGAGAATTGGATCAGTGTCTCATCATCCAATGATGAATGTGAGTAGGAGGGTAAATACACCAACTTCCTCACCCCTCATGGAGTACAATTCCAAGACATGTCCCACGGTATTGCTCTGGAGATACTAGCAGGATAACTCTCCCTGAAGTAGAAATCTAGTCTTGAACACACCTGTTATTTCCTTCCCTTTTCTTCTCAATTCTCCACTTCCCTATTTGCTGTTTTCAGAGAAAAATCCTCCAACGACAAGTCCCACTGAACTCTTGATCTCAGTGTCTGCTTCTGGGAAATCCAACAAAAGATATTAGCATTGCTTGAATTACCAACATTATAGACAGTGGATGGACTGAATGGGTGGGTAGGTAAACAGATAGGGAGGTAGGTAACTCATATTATACAATGTTGCATATTACATAACCAGCTTAATAAAAGATCAGTATCTTTATTCAGTTCAGCGAACATTTCTCTGTGGTTGTAAGTTGAGGTCCCTTATGTGAAGTCATTTTTCTCTCTGAAAAAAATCATAATACCATACAATTTTATTGGTTTGTGGAATATAAAGCAAAGCAAAAGCAAATACAACAAAATAAAATACAAGCCCTTAGACTCTGACAACATCATAGGGGTAAGGGGAGGGAGTGTGGCAAGAAGTGGGGAGGAGAGAGGGGAGAGAATAACCTGCTGGTGAATGACTGGACATCTGGCAGTAGGTATTTTTCCACATAGTGGAAGTTTCTAATGTCACCTTGACTTAGAAAAAGAACAAAAAGTTGTGTACATATCTAACTATCTCATATTTATTAGCTTGCTTAACTCTTCAACATTACTGGAGTTGCCCTTGAAGGTATTATTATCAAGCTTGTATTTTTTTTTATTTCTTTTTAAATTCATGAGAGAATGAAAGGCTCCCCAAATGCCAGTATGGGAAGTCTCCCTGGCACTCACATGATCTTTTGGATGCAGTGCGATGTGAGAACGAGTTCCTGAATCTGATACTTGTGATTCAGAAACTGAAACAGAGACTTTGACAAGGGTGTTTCTCATTGAAGCAGGCTGTACTGGTGCTACGTGGCTGGTCCTGCTTGATAAGTACCAGTATCTTCTTTATGCCTGCAGCTATTGTTCTGTGATTCTCCCACTCTTTGGAATAAGAGGACAGGTAGAAGTAGATGCCAAGAAAGCTGTGGGGTTTGGGCCATTATCTAGTAAAGTTAGTTCTGTTGGACAGAAAGAATTTTTTTTCTCTAAGATCCAGAACCTAGAGCAGTGGTGTTAAACATTTTTTTTTTAACATAAAAGCCAATTTGGGAAAACTGAAAATGTTAAAGACTGCAATTTTTTTTATAGCTTTTACTCAGAAAATGCTGTATTTGCAATTACACTTAAGTATTCATTTATTGTTTCTCATTATGGAAGGGTTTTTTTTTTTGGTGAAAATTTAGAAGTTTTACAACTACAGAATCTCACTTTAAAGTTGTGCACCATAAAGTATACTTTATATGTGATAGAGCCTGGTGTTGTATGGTACTGAGTTGGGAAGATTTTGAAGGTAGAGTAACCCGAGTGGTTAACAGTGAATCTAGCCAAACCTCTGGCTTCAAACCCAAGTTCTGCTCCCTCATAGTTAAGATAAGTGATAACTGCGCTGGGTCAAGGCGTCCTTACTGCAAAAAGGAAATAACAATGGTACTTTCCTCATACTATGACTGTGACTCTTTAATTAGGTCATACAATTTGTTTGTGTAACCCAGCATAGCACACATCTAGTGTTCATTGTATGAAATTATTATCAGGATTTAGTGCATAGAACTGGCTTCATGGTTCAGCTATAGACCAAAGTAAAAAACAGTCTTATTTGGAGATTCCTACAATGGCAAGAGGACTAAGTTTATTAGGGGATGTCTGTAGAGATCATAGAAATATGCACATTGACTGCTGGTACCACATGGTCTGATTCAAATTTTAAAAAAATAAATGGCAAATTAATCTACTCTACTGTATTCCACTGGTCCCCTCCTCACCTTTATAATTAAGTTAAACACTTGTTGCAACGCTTCCCCAAAAGGAGAGTTGTGGTGGGACATTAGGTGTTAGGATGTCTTGCTTTGGGATCTCCTGGAAGCACATGCTGAAACAAGGATTTGTAGTTTTCTTGGTAAATGATCCCTGGGAGCACCAGGAAGGGATGGAAAAGCCAGTAGAGAGTGGATGAATGAACAGGGTAGCCCATGGGCTGTTGGGGCAACTGAGACTTCAAGGAGATGTGCGTAGCGTGCTTCAGGGTGATTCTGTAGCCAGATGATGCAGTAATTATGCAACTCCTTTTGGCCAATGATCAAAGTTGCCCTTGCGGGTGTTAACTCCCTGCACTGCATGCAGACTAAGCAAGGGCTTACAGCCCAAGAAAACCTTCTGGCAGAGATCTTGGATACTTGCATCAGAATTCTATCTTTGCAAATGAACAAATAAAACAAACCAAATTCTTAGACATGGGGAACAGATTGATGGTTGCTAGAAGAGGAGGTGGCTGTGAATGGGTCAAGGAGGATTAGTTAGTGATATGAAGATAGTTGAAAACTAGACTTTGGTGATGATCATGGTACAGTATATACAGATATTAAAATATAATGACACACACCTGAAATTTATATATTATCTGCCAAAGTTACTTCAGTACATTTTTCTAAAAGAATGCAAGCTGTCCTTGTATACAGAAATGCTAAGTGCCAGAGAGATACTGGTGAGCAACTAATGGTTGCTCCTCCCTAAAAAGATAGCATTTAATCCAGTAACAAGAAAAAAAGAAAATTTTAAGCAAAGGGACCAGCATGGGCAATGATGAGAGGAGAGGAAATGAAATGATAACAAGGGTAGTGGAAGAAACCTCGATAGTTAGATTAGTCATGGGAAAAAATCTCCATGATGAAGTGATAAAGGAATGCAGATCTGGAAGCACTAAGAGGG